TCTTTCCACTTCCCCCAGGTCCATCTATAAATATACATTTGTTGCTTGGTCTATCCAATGCATCGATGATCTCGTCTGCCGCGACCTTCTGCCTTTCATTGAGTGTTTCATATTGAAGGAGGCCGTTTCTTTCGTGCTCTTCATAATTCACGTCAGTAGGTATTTCCACGGGACGCTCAGCAACAGGGGGAGAGACTATGTCGGTGAGATCCCTGCCCATAAGAGCCATTCGGTCGAGGACATCGTAGTACGCTAATGCTGCTGCTAATTCGCGTTCCATTCCTTGATGAATGAAGTCGTCTGACATTGCACTAGAGAATTCGTTCCACAAATCCTGCGCCAGAACGACCTCGGAAAAGCAAAGCAAACAGGCAAAAAAGCTCCTTATGCATAATGCTGTTTGATACTGAACGGCCCCTCTAAACTTTGCCGAAAATATTGGTCGTCATCAAGGAAGCCTCCACGTTTGGCAGCCTCTGCAAAAGATTCCAACAATACGCCGTCCACAGTGCGTAAGTCTTCAAATGAAGTCTTGCCCTTCGTATTTCAGAAGAAGAATCCTGAGGCAAAAGCGCTCATGGTCGCGAGGCGAAACGGTGTACATCCGTCCAATAAGCCTTCCAGCGTGTTTCCTCGGTGACCAACCGCTGCGCTGCTTGAAAGTGAAATGTTCAGGGATTTGATAATAGTATAGCTGTCGAGGGTCAACCACGGACTCAGAAGGTACGTTCTCACCGGTCGCAGCATACTGCCTATTGAGCTCAAAGTATGCCGTGAGAGTAGTGAAGGATTGGCCAGCCTGATCGAAGTACTGCTGCTCTTGTCCCTGCACAAAACGCACCGTCTGAAAGTCGGGCAGGTGGACAGCTAACCTGCATACCGTGTGCGATTTCTCTTGTATTTTGAAACCAAAAATCCTATACATGCTCTCTGGCGCGCACACATAACGCGTGTTCAAATGCTTCCTAATTTCGTCGCCATCCGCATGATCATCTTCAGCGCGATTGCTCTCGATGTTAATTCGAGCACGATCTGGTCCTTTATATACGTACTTATAAAGATACTTTACGGCTGATATCATGCCACAAATTTCCAAGTTTATGTGACAGTCGTATTTCAGAAGAAGGTACGGATTTGTCGGCACGACCCACTGGTCGTCATACAGAGCACCGTCGACCTCCACACAAAATAAGTTGCGGCGCCGATAGTTAGGGTATCCGTCCACATCCACCGTGGTCCTTTCTCGTAGTTTCTTCGGGAACTTCTTCGAACAGGACCCATTCCGCATGCAGGGAGAGTCTCGGTGACCGCACCGCCTGTGTATCATATAAGAGGCCACAGCCATGTGAAGTTGAGGTTCTTCAGTAGGATTTGGGACTTCTGCACAGATCGACCTATCAACCTCATCTCCTGTCCGCACCTTCCATTCGTCTTTCATTATAAGAAGCATGTGACAGTGTGGGAGACCCCTCTTCTGAAATTCAATCACGTGCACACTTGCTTGAACTTCTCCAAGGATGTGTTTTCTGAAAAGATCTGAACAGAGCTCTTCCACTTTAGCGTTGAAAACCCGTGCCACCAAGTCGGGACGGTCAGATGCAGTTTGGCCGTTGGAAAGATTCTCTGCAATCTCCTTCCATTTGGGGTTACACGTCATGGTCAAAAAATAGGTGGGCTTCCCATAACGTGCAACAATAGCCATTGCATCTTGGTACGACTGCTGCATGGAGCGCGGACTGCCGAGATGGGATGATGACAAAATTACTCGGTTACCTGGTGGCCCAGAGTTGTCCTCACTAGCGAGATAGTCATGAAGACCCCTATATGAATCAGCTCGCAGTCTTAGTTGGTTTCGCCTCTGGAAATTGAGGACGATTTCTGCTCGATCTTGACGTATGCGTCGACAGCAAACTGCTGGAAGAGCTTTCCAGCATGCAGGACGGGGTTAAACCCGTCTCGTATCGATAACAGATATGAATAATAATCCTTTTGAGTGGCACAACGCCCAACGTTGTTAGTCAAGGTTGGATCCCATCCGCCTTCTCCTGTCGGAAACAGAAGGGGGTATGTAAGCGGATCACATATCTTGTCTATGTCGCGAATACTGAGGAGCTGCTCTCCTAGGACACCTCGAAGGTGTACAGCGAAGACTCCTTGTAGCAGGTATATCGTCATTTTCACCGACATAAACAACGGCAACTTCGTTCGCAGTTGGTAAGTCGTACTGACGACCTCGCAGTCCCCTCTCAATGGTCTCTTCGAAAACCATCCTGATTTGAAGAGGAGTGCGGTTTTCCTGAGCAGCCGCTGCGAGCTCCGCCTCTTCAACTTCTCTCATCATTTTGAAGGATTGAGCGTAAACATTGATGCTTGACAACAACTCACTGAGAAGATGCATTAACGCTGAATCACAGCCAACATTTCTTGGATTCGAAAGGCGTTGCTCAGCAGCCATTCCTGTATCGAGGATATAAATCTGGCCATACTGACGTAGCTGTCCTTCAACGGGATGAAGAGGGCCTATCCGATGGTAAATTTGCCCATGTATTTTGTAACAGTACGGGCCACGGCCTCTGACCGTGTCTACTTGTGCTCCCATTGAAGCCATTGCGAGAGCGGAATTGAAGCTTCTTATATTCTCCATGAAATTCCTCTGCATTCGGCAATGCTGCTCAGCGTTAGTAGGATCTCGAACAAACAGCATGCGTAGCCTATCTGGGAAGTTCTCAAAAAAGTTTAGATGAATACGACCCAAATCGCAACATTGGTGAAACTGATGTGGATGTTGTTGCTTAACCTCACAGAAGAAATGGCGTGCGCCGCAGAAATCGCATCTTCGGTCTAAGCAACCGAGGTAGTTCGGTTCCACAAAACGACTTCTCAGAGCTATCCCAAGCGTTCCAGAAGGAGGATTGCGCAGTCTCCGGTGACGATCAGCGTCGCTTGTATGACGGGCGCGTCTATCCGTCAGAGCTCTCATCTATACGTCTCACTCGCTGGCGCTCTGCTTCATTCCGTTGCCGTTCAGCGCGCTCTTCGTCGGTTTCTTCTGTTCGTCTTCGACCTTGGCGCTCCGCGTCATCTCGTTGTCGTTCAGCCCGTTCTTCACTGCTTTCCTCAGCTCGTCTTCGAATTTGGCGCTCTGCTTCATCTCGTTGGCGTTCAGCGCGCTCTTCATCGGTTTCTTCTGCTCGTCTTCGACTTTGGCGCTCCGCGTCATCTCGTTGTCGTTCAGCCCGTTCTTCATTGCCTTCCTCAGCTCGCCTTCGACTGTGGCGTTCTGCATCACCTCGTTGCCGTTCAGCCCTCTCCTCACTTCGCTCACTACGTCGCCTTTGTCGGT